TATTATTATTATTATTATTATTATTATTATTATGCGTAATGATTAAGCATCCATCTTTAAAAACTACCTTTTTAATTTTATATTTTACAAAAAAAGACTCAATTAATTTTCTTTCTAAATCAGAAAGAGAGTTTTTATTTTCCTTCTTTTTATTATTATCTTTATCTATATTTGATATTTCTTCTCTTTTTTCATTCGGATTTGGAACATCTTCTAAACTTTTCAGAACATTATTTAACTTAAAAAGACTTATGGATTTAAAACCATTTCACCTAAAATTGCTCCAATCAACCGGCAGAAAATCAGCATATTTTTTTTCTACATTACCATCCGCATATCAAATAAAAAAATAATCGGTGCTGCCTATTTCCTTTATTTGCTTAATTGAATGGTCTTGAAAATACTCTTTAAGTTTTAAAAAGTCTCTCCTTTTATTATATTTATTTTGGAGTTGTATTTTGTTATTTTTTTCTTCCTTAAAAAAGGGCAATTTATTAATGAAAAAGTATCTAACTTGAAACCGGTCATTGTCTTTTATTTTTTTGTTTTTAATAGAAAGGTCGTAAACAGTTTCTTGGGCTTCATCCCTTCCGATTTCTTTTTCAATTTGGGCGGTCGTTTCAGGACTGAAAACAATTAGTTTATCCCAAACATTAAGTTGATAATCATTTTTTATTTTTTCTAGACGCTTGTTTGCTTCATCTCCACAGTTATCACATAAATTACTTTCAAAAATATTAGTTTGCTGACCTCCTTTTTCCGAAATAATGTCGCTAGCATAATTTAGTTTTTTTTCTCAATATTCCGAAGTTAATCTCTCTAATTCCGGAATAATTTTCTCGGCTGCTTGGGCTTTTTGGTAAGCCTCATTAAGTTTTTCCCGTAAGGAGTTAGAAATATTTTTAGTAAAGAGTTTTTCGATAATTTCTTTTTGAAAATTAATTTTTTCTTTTATCCCTTTAACTTCTTCTTTGGCATGGTTGTCGCCGTGATAATCATAATAAACAGTATGGGTAGTTTTTTGATTTTGACAGGCCTCACATTGTCCTCATTTGCGGTTATGGTGGTTTTCACAAGCCAGGTAAGAGGTAAACTCCCCTCAGTTAATTTGCTTATCGCAACCAATTACTCCGCATTTATTTTCGGTGCCTCATTTAAATTCTTTTACCATAATGTTTTT